AATTACCATCTATGAGATCACTCCCTCAAACCATTAAGATTGAGTGATCGAACGTGAAGAACCGATCATTAGATCAAATTTCCTTCAGAGTGGTCTGCTTATTTATTTTACATTGTGTTTGTTTTTGTTTTGGTTTCTGTGTTTGTCTATATCTTTGTCTTTGATTAGGTCCTTGTGTTAGTCTTTACTTTTGTTTTGTTTTGTGTACGTTACATATTTTTTCAATTTGCAAGAAAATCGGAAGAGTACTTTTTTAATATTTTGCAATAATATTAATATAAGCTCGAACAGCTAAAAATTACCATTTTCTATTACGACTCATAATAAAATATCACTCATCAGTTGACCACTTAATAAATATTGTTTGAAAATTTGAAAGTTAATGCTAACGCTATGCTTAGCATCAAATCAATCAAATTAGTATATTACTCTTTCATTTTTCTTAATTTGAGCTAACAATTCTTCCAATTTAATAATTAATGAGACTATCAAGTACCGTACACAGTTTTAATTAGTTGAATTTAAAGCCTACTCATTTATTTCTAGAACTCAGATAAATTAATGATCTTACAAATAAGCGCTAGTACTTATCTTGCAAAAATCAAAATTTTTCTCGGTCTTGTTAAATTAAATGTAATTAGTTTGGAATGGTTATTAGCGAAAGACTTTTCATTATTCATTTCATTTAATTAATGTAAACAACTAAAATTCTGCATTTCACGTTAAATAGTGAGTATACTTTAAAATTAATAAATTAAATATATTTGGGTGAAATTAAATGTATTAAATTCTTTCACTTTTACTTATCAAATTTAAAGTAATTTATTATTCATATCTACGAGTCTATGAGAAATACATTTAAGTGCAAGTTTGAGTGAGTTAAGTGAGTTTTTTTTAAAAAAATCACCGAGTTATACAATATTAATACTTCCATCAAACAGTGGTTGGAAAAAATAATGGAAGCACTTTTATCCAAACTCATTTTTTCATATTTCTCACGAAATACTTGAAGAAATATTATGAAACTGAAGAATTGTTTGAGCTAGGCGATTTCTCATACATATCAATAAAGTTTTTAGAGGCTTTAATGACCGGCAATAGATAACTAACGAAAAAGAATGTTCTGAATACCCCCCTATCGCAAAATTTTACGGAGATGAGCTCGTAATTACGTCGATTACTATATAAAATTACAGCATAAAAATTCGTAAACCTAGCTTAAGTATTCATGGAGATAGGGAAATTTTTGTAAAACAAAATAGCTCATTTAGTTGCGTACTTGCTTAATATTGCTTTCTTAGTTATAAATTTACTTAAATGACTTAATATTATTGTAAATTATATTCACCAGTGTAATTCTAGTAAAGAGAATTTAGATGTATTAGTTACTTAATTGCTTGATTAATTGAAAATTTACTTAATTTAAATAAAATTATTGTAAATATACTTAATTGCAGTAAAGAGAATTTAGATGTATATCTCTAAATAATAAATGAACAAGAGCCTTATAAATGAACAAAAATAAAATCAAAATTGCATTTATTAATTGAAAGACGAATTTCTAACTGCAAGATATTTATTGACTAATTTATTTTCCGTGAATTTATCTTCGATTAAATTTACCAATGAAGTGTAAAAATGAATTTATTCAAAATCTGAAAATTAACTAATTGTAGCATGACAAGAAAAACTAATCAACAGAAACTCGAAAACTCCTTTTTTCCAAGACTTGCAACTTTTCTTTCAAGTTCAAACTTAATTAACAATGTTAGAATTTACTCTGAAAATTCAGAATTCATATTAGTTTGACGAAAATTGAGCGTAGTTCGCCCCTTCCGTTAAATTCCCTGTATTTAGTAATTGGTAAAGGTAGTAACGAAAAGTCTTCTTTTAAACTCTTTATAAAAATCTGTTTCCAGAAACCAAGGTAGACTCAGAATTATATTAGAGAAGAAAAGAAAATATTTCAGGAATTTCTAAAAGCATTTATCGTCCGGTATCATTCCGAAAAATATTTCGAAAATGTTTGTGTTTCTTTTCCATTTAATGTTCCGACAGCATAATTAAAGTGATTCTCATTTAAAATTAATAATGTTGTGTCTTTGTCAGTTCGAATGAAAAATTTATTCTCAACACTTCCATACATGTTTTAAAGTTGCTATTAACGTTACTTAATTTATCATCATTTATGATGATTTAGTTGTGGTTAAACGTTGAAACATTATACACGTTTATTTTGCAAAACATTCTTTCATTTATTTTGGTTTTTTTTTTTTTNTTTTTTTTTGTTTTTTTTTTTTTTTTTTGGTAAATATTTGTGAGCCTGTAAAGCAAATATATTTGTCACCTGTATGAAATGGTTCATAAAATGCTTTAATTTTGGATTATGCTTTATTAAATTGCTTTCTCGGTTCGAATATATTGAGTCAAAAAATATTGCTATCTCAGTTCATGAAATGATTATGCATCTGAGAAACATGGTCCAGATAATGCAGTTAATTAATATTGTTAGAAAATTGGAATGAAAGCTACCGTTAATTATTCTTTTTAAATTTCGGACAATCGTGTAACATGCTTGAATTATAACTAATTTTAGAGCACTAAATATAATTAATTTAACCGAAGTACACTGCGCAAAGTTAAAAATGGACCACCCCGAATTACTTTTATTGGGATCTTAACGTTTTAGCACTCAATCCTTATGGTTCGATGGGGTGACCTCAAATATGCTAATTAATAAGTGCAGACGATATTTTAAGTTACGGAATCAGACACAAAAACGTACTTCCTCTGAATAAACGTACATTCTTTTCAATTCGGATTTCTGACACCCAAACTATAAGGAGCAGCCGCAATCTAGGGAATATGGTCCGAATAGCTTGGTCAAGAGGGTGTTCCAAAGTTTGGACTTCTTAATGTTGTTTTTATTTTTATTTATATATTTATTATTTATTTTTTTTATTTCGCTATAACTCGAAATTTTTAAGCGAATTGAAAAATTTTTGCAAGCATTTATAAAATTCGTTTTTCCAAAGACAATTCTGTGCAATGAAAAGCTCTTAGTAAATATACATTATTTTCTTTATTTTCTATTCATAATAGTCGAAAAAATTTTTAATTGTAAGAATTTTGAATTTTATAAAATTTTGAATTTTTGAATTGTACAAAAGTTTTTCTCATTCCAAAGAATGTAATTTCAGTAGCAGAATACAAATTGTGAGATAAATTAATCGAATAGTTCCTGAGAAGTAAACTTTAAAAAAAAAAAAAAAAAAAAAAAAATTTAAGTTTGATTTCTTAGGAACAGTTCAACTGATTTCGCAATTTTTTTTTTTACTTTACGGTTTACAACTACATTCTTTATAATAATATAAAATTTAAACCTTAGAATTCAATTTTTTTTTAATATTATTGAATAAAATAATGAAAAGTAATAAATATTTGCCAAAAGTTGTATTTTGTATGGAATTAATTTTGAATAAACTAATTTTATAGTTGTGTTCAAAACATTTTCGATTCGTTTAAAAAGTCCTGGAGATCTGATGAAATATGCAAGAAATAAAATTAACATTAAGGGGTCCAAACTTTGGACCGCTCTTCTGACCAAGCAACTAAGACTATATTTCCCACATTACAGCTATTCTCTAAATTTTTGTGATCCGAAATTCAAATCCATCGAAAAAAAAAGTATGTTTATTCAGAGAAAGTATGTCTTTGAATCTGATTTCGTAACTTAAAATATCGTCACCACTAATTAATTAGCATGCTTGAGGTAAACCCCTCAAACCATTATGATTGAGTTCTAGAGCGTGAAGATCCAATCATTAGATCAAAAGGTATTCAGGGTGGTCCGTTTATTTTTAGTGCATTGTAAATTAGATTTATATAATTTGAAAATATTGTAATAAATTAGGTTTATGTGCCCATTAAGTTGCGCTTTTAATTGAATTAATATGATTGAGCAAACGTAAATTTTAGTTCAACCAAGTAATACTCCTACCAAAAATAATATTAGTAGACCATGATTTAACTACCCAGTGGGATAGTTCTTTTAATTTTGCATAACTAAGTTTTTTTTTAAATCATAATGTAAATAATCGCGAATTATAATTTTGTATTTAACCTATTAGTTTGCGTTTATCCACTTTAAAAACTTCTTTAAAAATAATTTATAAATTCACAGAAATTACTTTTTTGACATAAACTTCATTCACGTAATATTTAATCATGTTTCTTTCAAATTGTACTCATTGAAGTGCAGTGCGCCAAAATAAAACGGACCACCCTGAATAGCTTTTGATCCAATGATAAGATTTTCACTTTCTAGGACTAAATCTAAGTGATTTGAGGGGGTGACCTCAAAAATATTAATTTATAATGTTTATTCCAAACAAATATAGTTAAGTTAATTCAGAGAAAGTACGTTTTTGTGTCTGATTTCGTAACTTGAAATGTCGTGTTCATTAATTAATTAGTATTTCTGAGGTCACCCCCTCAAACAACTAAAATTCCGTCCTAGAGCGTGAAGATCCGATCAGACATTATTCTGGGTGGTGCGTTTTTTTTTTCCTTCTTTTTTTTTCTTTTTTTTTTGTGTCCCGTACTTATCAATTGTTTGGTTAGTAATGCAACGTTTTTTACAACTCAAAAGTAATTTCTCACAATGTAGTCAATGTAGTCATCAGAAAATATTTTGTACGATTGTAAAAATACTCTTTTCTTGGAATTATTCCTAATTTCGGATTTTGACATTTTTTATCCCATTACGTTAGAATTTTTTGCGATAAGTGTTTTAAATTGGATTTTTTTCTAATTATTTAGCGGTTTTCCCGAAATATTACGGAAAAATTATGACAATAGTATTATTGGTTAAAATTTTTATTTATTTTCTTACATTTTGCTCCAAACTAAAGATTAGGATGTTTTTATTTTTACGAGTTCTTAATTTTTTAAGTCTCTTGAAACTTATGTATTCTTATTATTCTTTTCCGATGTTTTAGTGACACATTGGCTTTTGCTACAGAACCAGTGCTGGGTACATTGGCAAATATATTGGGATGTCTGGAAGAAAGACTACCCCAAAACATCTCCCCAATGGTCAAAGAATATACTTTTCTGGATATTGAACTCAAGTATGGGCTATTACAAGTAAGTAGATAAAAGAAAACTAATTTGAAGAAAAAATTACATGTGTGTGTTCATAGCTTTAAACTATCAAATCTTTCCATATTATCCTCAAGTACAAAATTCTCGCACATTTTCTCCCGCTTCTAAGATGGGTTTCTTTTTCAATTTTAACAGTAATTTTTCTCGATACTCTTTAGCTACCAAGGCAAATAAAAAATCCACAGTACAGTTTAAGTGTCTAACATTTGTGGCAAAGCCATAATTTCAATCTATATATACCATTTTGAAGTAAATAATTATCTGGGCTTCAGAACTGATAACTCATATATGTTAAAAGTTGTTAAAAAAGATTTAAACCTCGCCAATTTGGCGAGATTTTTCCACTTACTTGAAAATTACCAAAAGCAATGAATAATTCTCAATTTTTGTAAATGTTTGAAGCCCAGATAAAGCAGTCTTGGACTAGCTTTTAAATATTAAAAATTAAAGCACAAACGCTCGTAATTTTCATAAAACTGCCTCTTCATATTGAGTGTCTGCTCTATTTTCAGAGTTTGTGCGTGCTAGCGAAAGATAGGATAAACTTGACTTAACAGTTATGAAAATAGCAGATTCTCAAAAAGCATTACTTTCTGAGACGACAAAGCCTTCGAAAAACACTCATAGTAATTCGCAATTTTTGCAAATTGTGAGCAGTAAAATGATATATATATATTGTCT